AGGCAGCACTGATCTCCATGGGATGCAGAGGAGATGTGGAACTGAAAACCACTGTATGCTTCAGGCACTCTCACACAGGTTGTCTCATAGCAACCTCCCCAGTCCCAAATTGGATTTGAGACTTCACATGGTTCCTGAAAGTGGAATCAAAACACTGAAAGTACAGTTGAAAGTAGAAAGGTCTGGGAACAGACATGGCATCATAACATGGCAGCAGTTTTCAGGTAATGGCCTGTAATGGAGCAATCATGCCTGCCTGCTCCACCATCTGTAAGTACTGCAGGTAATTGCATGGTCCTCCAGTTGAACAGGTTGGCACAAATAAGGTCCTTCTGCTGCTGTGGCCACTGTTTGAAGGGGCAGATTAGAGGTTTGGAGGTATGCCTCCAAGCTACTGCAGTTGAGTTCTGGCACCTTCTGCTTCTTTGGCAGAGGAGCGTTCTTTAAAGTACACATGGGCAGGGATCTGGAGGTGGAAGAGCTCCCCCATAACAACCTTCAAAATGTAGCTTCAGAGAAAAAACTTGAGCCATCTCAGAGCATTTACTGTTCATGTTCTACATGCTTTTAGGGAGGGCAATGTGTATCATTAGCAGCATCAAAAGGGCATTTTCCCTCCTCAGCAGGCAAGAAAAGATCAAACATTATGTCTGTACTATACTCTAGACAGAGAGGGACCACAGTGTAGCCTTTCAAAGGTGTCTGAGGAAAGGTTCCTAGGCATCTTGCAAAAAGCTAAAAAGATTCTTGGTCATAATGCCAACACCATTCCTTGGTATGACCAGATTTTGTCATAAGCTGTTGTTGCTCTGGATCCCCTTTCTTTGATTGGTCTTGGACAAGCAATAAGGAAGCAACAATTACTCTTCTTTTGGACTGATGCTAACATCGTCTTCCAGAATACGCAGTTTATTACTATTTGTATCTTCTTGTTATTGGTCCATCAGATTGAGGCTATGGTTGGAAATGAAAAATCATTCTCCTGCTTTGCATTACCACTGCATCCTCAGCTTTGAGAAGATTCTCTCCCTTGCATGTTTAGATCTGGTATTGCATTTTCTACTTTATTCGTTCTTAAAAGACGAGAAGCCTTCCCCCCACCTTTCTAATTTACTTAGAAAGCACAATAATTAACCAAATACATTTGGTTGGTTGAAAGGTTATACACATTATTTGTTTAACTGGAGGTGTACCTGGCTGTCAGAATAACTCACTGGAGAGATCACAATTTGATAACAATACTGGTCAATCAGTGTGACCTACAACAGGACCACCTGTGGTGGACCTTATGAGCCAGCCTGTAGCTCTTATCCCTGCCTTTTCAGGCATGACTTTATATGCCACGGCACCTCAGGCAAACAGTATGTAGTTTCAGGCACACAGTATGTAGTAGACCGGCAGTATGATTCAGAAAGTGCTGATAAACATAGAAGATAGGACTCAGAGATGCCCATGTTACCTCTCCTTCTAAGGTTTCCAAGGCTGTAAACAAGGAAGGACTGGAATGATGAGATAATCAATTGATAGAACACTGAAAAGGTCAGGGTATTGTAATATGCAGTGTTGCACTGAGTATAGGAGATATTAAAATTCAGATGGTTCACTCCTATGAAAATAATTACAGTGGCACAAATACAAAAGTAGAGACTTCCACCCTGGTGGCAATTGCACAAACAGATGCATCTATTTCAATTACATTCTGAGGGACAGATTCTCATGTGATGCTCTTTGGAGGCTGTATTAAGCTGTTTAGCTGTTCAGCTTGAGCATAAGGACTTAACCTGGTAACAGTTTGGGCTGGAGATCCTTCCTTCCTTCCTGCCTTCCTTCCTTCCTTCTTTCCTTCCTTCATTCTCACAACTGATATGATGATGATGAAACATTACTGGTCAGATTAACCTCTGTTAACCTGTTATCTTTTAAGAGGTGATGTGACAATGTCAGGAGACTATGTCAGAACTTTTTCCATCCTATCTTCCTTCTCCCCTTTCTGATCTTCAGACTGTGCTTCCACCTTTCGTTAGTTTCTCTGGGGTGAGGAATTCTGCCACTTATTGGCTTTATTTTGACTAATTCTTCCTCTTTACTTTGCTATACACATGCCCCAGAAAGTTAGATAGGAGCCATTTTGATAAAAGACTGGGCTTCTCAAAATTATGCCTATCAGATTTTAAAATAATGGACTCTCTCTCTATACTCCTAAATCTCTGGTCATTGTTGCATCTCTTAGTGACTTTATGTGATCTGCACTGTTTTTGAAATCAGCACCCAAATCTGGACCCAGTGGTACAGCCAAGGAAGCAGCAGTAACACATGGGGCAGAAAGATTATTTCATGCATCCTACCTAAAATACTCGCCTGTACACTTCTCTCTGTATTCGCTCATACTAAGCACTTAAAACCACAATCTCCTATATGCAGCAAAAGGAAATAAAACCATGTCCATGTCTCCCCAAGATATTCTCTGATATCCATGAAAGACTGGTGAATTTCACAGAAACATATTTATGCCTTCCAGGCAGATCCAGTTATAAGAAAAAAAATGTTTGCCTATGAAAACTCTGTTGTAAGAAAGCTATAGTTGCTCTTTTCTAATGTATACAAGCTTTTATTTAAGCATTGCCAAATCACTCTTCAGGGTATTTTTGCCCTGTGTTATGAGAACTGTAACTTTTATAATGTCTTCTGATTGCTATATTTGTGATATAACTGTTTTGCAAGGTTACTTAATTTCGTTTTCCCTCTGTTTTATGTTTAGAAGCTTTTTTTTGTAATTGGAGACAAGGTAAACTAGAGAGTATTTTCTGTGCCGTCTGAGTAACAGCATGAAGCAGGAGAGGGCTATTCAGCAGCCAATTTGTATCCCCAGTTGGGTATCCCTTCGGTTGAATACAGCTGGTATAAAATATACAGGGTCCGGAGCTGATGGAAACAGCAGAAATCAAAAAAGTGAATTTTCTAGAAATACTAAAACTATAAAAAGATTTGAGCATGCTATTAAAGAAGCTGTGAATTTGGCTCATGGGAATGGAGAGCTTTCCCCTTCTTCAGACTCAGGTTGCAATTGCTGATACAAGTGGAATTGCACGTTTCACTCACTTTTTCTTATAAAAAGCCCGTTTTTAGGCACTTCTAATATTGCCCATTTCTGATCATTTGGGTTGCTGTTTTACAGCCAGAATGTAATAAAAACAAAATTGCTGAAAAATTAAGCTAATACGTGAAAATGAGACTACAGACAACAGTGCTACTTTACATATTAAAATTTGTTGTGCTCTTTTCTTTGAATACCTCTAGCTTTGGAGCAGGTATTTGAAAACTAGTAGCAAAGTAATCTTTGCAGCAGAGATATGCCTTTTACAATTTCAGAGAAAGCTGTCCAGTGTTGGCCGTCTTATAAACCCTTGAAAAATTCCAAGTCATAGCTGCTCAACAGACTGCATTTGATGGTCACAGGTTAACGAGTCAGGGCACTGAAGGCTCTGTCTTCACTGAGGAAACCCTCCCAATTTTGTTCTGAAAAAAATCACATTTGCACAGATGCTGTAGTGATGTCTATATTTTAGCAGTTCTACTTTCTAAAAGCTCAGTATTCACGGGGCACTCCTGAGCACCTCACACCTCTAAGGGCTGGCAGCCGGGCTGTTCCAGCGCTACAGGGGACCAAGAAATGATCCCCTTCCACAGGGCTCCAAGCACGAGGTTGCCTTTTGCTGTAACTGTGGCTCCACTACAAGGTGGTGCCAATGCTGGAAATAAAGGAGGAAGCCCCTCTCTCTTGTGTTCTTGGTAATTCCCTTGCTACGAGTTATCTCCACATTGCCTGTCCTGAAGAGAAATAAATCCGTATTTATGAAATCTTGCTGCCTACAGCAATGAGGGCCATAGAAATGAGTAATTTTGCCTGCAGAGTAGGACACACCCAGAATAAGATTGTATCGTGAGCAATTAGGAAAAAACATTATTGAAGAGATGCTCATTAAGTGCGCATCATCCAGCAAGTACACCAAGTCTAATGAATTCATTTAAGAGCGTGCCTGGGTATGCGAGGCCAAATTAAGATGGGCAGGCAACTGCAATTTCCTAATTTTAGAGTGCTTGACTTTGTACTGATCTTTTAACACGTATGAGTGTAATTACATGTAAAAAGAGGATCAACATACATGATCTGCTTCCAGTGAGGACTACCACCTTTTGGGGCTCTTACCTTGAGCTTTAAAGAAAGAACATGGTTCTTGCAGCTCTCATGGAGAAGGTAAGTTGATAAGACATGCCAATTTGACCAGGAGATCCCTGGAACACAGAAGCTGTTATCAGCATGATAATAAAAATCTGGAGAGACTATTTTGACTAGTTTTTTTTTCAATGGGAAACACAATTTCCCTCTCTACTTCCCTTCCACACCACCTAACCAACACTCGTGTGAGTTTGTCCATAGCCAGGGTCACAGCAAAAGAGTGCAGCTCATTCACCAGGTCATATCTTCCCTTGTGAAGAGATGTCCCCTGTCACATGACCCAACACTGGCAGCCAGTTTCTCCAAAGAGCGGGTGGTTATGCCTCAGGTTTGTATGTGTCCTTGTGAACAAATAATAGTGTGGTCATACTAGTGAAAGGTGATTTCAAAAACAGGCTGAAGAATGGATAGTGTTTCCCTTTGGGAAATACAGCCACTAATCATTGACATTTTTAACAGCAGTGTCTCAGCAAATTTTCTATCCTTTTAAAAGAGGCAGTGATGCTGAAAGGAGGCGGTTGTCAAAGCCTGGAAAGTGGACAGTGCTTACCAAATGGCTGCACTTAAACAAAAGAGGGGTAAGACAATCCAAACAGCAAACAGATGATCTAAAATGGTTTATTAAGCGACCCCCTAGTTTTCATGCTCCTGAGGAAGACAGAAGCTTGCTCGTCTTGATAAGGAGATCTAATTTTTTTTAAACAATTTGGCTTTTTCCCGGAAGTGTGTTCAGTGTGAACAGTTCAGTGTGTTCAGTTACTTCTGAGCATATTGTGCTGCCCATGGGTTTTCCAATGTATGTGGAACATCACTCACGGCGATGACAAAATCCCATGGGAACTGCAGTTTGGAGCTTGGATTAGTGATTTTGGAGTGCATTGCCTGCTGCACCTTGGAAACTATCTGGCAGCTCCCATCGATGTTGACCCTGGCCCTGACAAGCGAAGGACCAGGGTATTGTGCTGCTGCTCCAGCATGTTGCACTGCATGGCTAGTGCTCTCTGCTGGGGTGAGAAACTGGAAAAGGAGAGGGAGCCTCTTGGCTGATGGCAAGAGGAGAGATAGTGCTGTGACCGTGGCTGAGAAAAGTGGATGGGCAGGAAACGGGTACATGTGTTTAGGGTTTAAGAACAGCCACAGCAGGTATCTTCGGGAATTTGGTGCCTGGGGACTTCTGGTATTTGCAGACATAGGATAGAGTTTTGTAAGTGGCAGGTGCTTGTCCCATTCTGTCTCTTTGTAGAGTTAAACCACAAAGAACCCAAATGTTCACTATCTACATGTGAAATTCCTTAGCATTAATAATCTTAATTCAAATTCTTTTTCAGATATTAAGGGTTAAGATATAATTTTCTATCTGGACATGTGCACATATGATGTGTGTGGCATCAGGGTAGCCCATGGTAAGTCTCCATGGTAAGCAAGAAAGGTGTTTGCCTTTTATTTTATTCCATTGAGTACACAGAATATGCAGGAGGCTGCGTTAACATATTGAGAGAAATATTAGTGACAGGAATTGTCAAGCTTTTAACATTTCAGTAACAGTAAACTTTTAATATAGCATACTTTTTGGATGAAGAAGCACACTCTTTTGCTGTTACTTGACTCAAGAGTCTTATAAAAGGGGTTTTGTCTGAGATGGGGATTTAGCATACCAAAGGTGCTAATGTATTTAAATGGCAATGTTGTATAATTCTTTATGGCTGGTTGGAAACTCCTTTAGTCTTTAGGGCAAGGTCACATGTCATATGGTGATGTCATTCTGAAAGGATTGAAAGTACCTAGTCCACAGGGATAATATATTAGTTTGCCTTTGTATGCTTTTCATTGTTTTGTCATTCCACTTACATGAGCGTAATGTTAGCTAAGATAATTGATCTCATTAAAATACACAAGCCAAGATAGAGAAACTTCAAATTGATGCATCACTGCAGTTATCCTAAATATCACTGAAATAAATATACATTTAACCTCGTCCTTTCCATTAAACATCCTTGTTTATATCTCATAAAGGGAAAAAGTACAATGTGACTAATATTTTTCTTTTCAAAATTTTACAGATTATTTCACAGACACCTTGAGAATACTTACAATAAAACTTTTCTTACACTTCGTTAAGGAAGGAACGACGAAGTACAGCATATCAGAGGTATAACTGTGCAGTATATTCTAAAGGTGTCTTAGCGTTGCCTCTTTAGTTTTTCTACTATGCTTCATTAGTCACATGCCGGTCATTTGCAATAAATGGAAAAATAGGTAATTAATTAGGTATTTTCTCTGCAAAACTGTGAAGCCATTGCAGACAACTCTTGCTAGTAAGTAAAAGAGATACTTAATATCCAGACACTTTCTCTGATCTGGAATGTTGCCTTGCAGAGGGCTTCAAATGGTTACTCTTGTGCCATCTCCTAGAGAAAGGCTTCTAGAACTACTTGAGGCATAAGACAAAGTGTTGAGCCTAAGAAACAGTAAAATATGCTGTCCACAAGAGAAGTGTATTTGCAAAACTTTTTTGAAAAAACAGTTACAGATTAGTCTTGGACTAAAAGGAGAATTGCGTGTGCTGCCATCTGTTTTGATATAGGAGATCAGTGCACTGCACTAACAAAGCGTGCTCAACAGATGCGGCTAGACCACCAAGTCTAATCTTTGTACCGGCATAATGAAATTACTCCGCATAATGGCGAAAAATGTTACACTAACAAAACTGTAACTCTGTCAATATAAACTGCATCTACATTAGAGTCCACTGCCAGCACATCTCTACCGGATAAAAATTACACCTCTAACCCAATTAACCTTTCAGGAAGAAGTCTCATAGCATGGACACTACCTGGATAACTCACTGTTCTGTGCCTTTGACACACTTAAACAAATAACCTTTGAGTTATCCAAAGTGTGTGGATTATCTTTTCTAAAAGATGTGACAGACACCTGGAATCTTCTTTTACAGATCTGTTGCTTTGCTATTAAAATTTGAAGATAGTCAGCTTCCCTCTTGTCCTGTACCTTTAAGAAAAGGCAGCCTCCAATACACCATTGTGTTTTACTGTGCTTTGTAAACTATGGGCAAAACCCATTTTGTTTTATTTTGGTAGGATAACTGGTATACTGCAAGTTACAGTGATATCTGGAAAACTGGGCAGTTGGACAATATGACCAACTCCTGCCTTTTGTTTAGCCCTTTTAAATGGCCTTTGTTATTTCTTAATATTAAGCTCTAGACTGCTAGCTGACATATTTTTTACGCCTCTTGTTTTCTTAAATGGAAATGGCTAGCTGAAATGCCAGGCATTATTTGGAATAGGCAAATATCGCACAACTCAGTAGGAGGGCCTTTTGTTTCTTTTGTTTGTTGTGTCCTGCATTGAAACATAGCTCCATTAGCTAATTCCCTCACCTCAAACCCCACTAACAATCTAAATTGATCTGCTAGAAAGTACAGCTTCAATTGCAACTAGGCTGACCAGCGCTGTTGAGTATCCTGTGCAAAATAAACATCTTTGAGGCCTCGCTGTCCATGACAGGCTGTAAGGGAAAGGTTTTTCAAAGACACGCAGGTGTCATGGGGGCTACCAACTGCAAATCACCTTCCCTAAATGTATCACTAGCAATGCGTTCTTTCTCCTCTAGCTCTTACAGGACAAAAGGAGAGAAGTTGTTCACGTTTTTACTCAATGGGAGGTATTCTGGCTTATACTCACAGAATCTTTCAGGCTTGGGATTTGGATGTTACTCACAGGTCTTTCTCTTTCTTCTCTCCCTCCCAGTCTTGCCCTCCTTTTCTTTCTAGATGTATGTAAGGCAACCATTTCAAGATGTTTTTCTCAGTTTCCCCTTCCTGGGAGTTGGAGCGCATAAGGTGTTGGCTGCAATGACAGAGCAGCGATGGGACTTTTGTGTGCCCCACAGCCAGGCATTTTTCAAAGCTGGAATAACTTAGAAGCCACTTCCCCCATCAGCAAAAACTTGTGGAGTATATTTAGTGGAGGTGAAAACTGACCCTTTGATGGCTGAGGCAGAACCATCAGCGGATCTGACACTGCAGTAGGAGAGAAGAGTGGCGGGTGGTCACACATGAGTGGGCTGAAGCAGATCAGTATATGCGGGGGGAAAGGTGGAGAATGTGAACAGGGCAGACGGAAGTGGTAAACGCCAGCTACCGCGCTCTGCCATGCCAAAGTCCACTTGTGTCTGCAAGCTGCATCTGTTAGCATAGTTCTCCCTGTAGCCTGACTTTCCATTTGGTCAAAAGGCTGCACTCAAGGATGCTGGGGAGTCCTTCAGGCCAAGCTCACTTGTTAGCATTTGTGTGGTTGACAAACACTTCAGAGAAGGAAAACAGGTAGGATGCTATGCTTCAAAACTGTTGTTTTCTGGTGTTTTTTAAAATGTAGTTAAAAATTGTAGGTGCTGGTCTTGGGGGGTTAGGAAGTTTTTAACACTTCCTTCCCCCCCCCCCCCCCCCATTTTGTATCCTTTCTTTCGTCTGTCCTCCCTGCTTACCTTACAAGCTCTTTGAGGCAGGGGCTGCCTCTTCTTATCTATGCCTGTGTACAGCGCTCACTGCAACTGAGCCCTGTTGAGGCCTTTGGAGCCTGCTGTTACACATATAATAATAATTCATGATGCCTAGGGCTAGGCACAGCAAGTACTTTGTTCCCATTCCTCGTGCGCCTCTGCGGATGCTCGTATTTCGGCGCATTCGCGCCTGGCCCCTGCGGGAAACTTTTGGGTTAAAAAGGCACACCCAGCCGGCCCTCCCCGGCGAGCGACGGGGAGGCTGCATGCGGCTTGGGGCA